CTTAACTTTATCAATATTCATTTACTTTAATTATTCATCATATTACAAAAAATCTCTTTTTATCTTTCATTTTTTAAGTATAATATAAGTAAACAAATAAATTGTCTTTAAATTCTTTTTTTTTTTGAACAAATTTGTAAGGGGCTGGATTCGAACCGTTGTTTAGGGAAAGGGGATGCATTTATACGTGGCTTGAAGCCACTGAACTCGAAGGTCCAAGTGCCTTTAAATTCTTAGTTTGAAGAAAAAAAAAGTTATAGTAATTTAAAGAAAAAGTTAAAAAAATAATTATTTTGAGATATAAAGAGTAATTTACATAGAAGAACATAAAGTTAATATTGATTTTAATACTATTGTTAGGAGTAAAGGTGCAAATAAGGATTCCAACTTTGCATTTTTTTCTATTTAAGGATGTTAACTTTGTCAGTTTCTAAATAATGACGTCAACTTTCAATTTTTTCTAAATAAGGATGTCAACTTTCAATTTTTTCTAAATAAGGATGTTAATTTTGTCAGTTTCTAAATAAGGATGTCAACTTTCAACATTTTCTATTTAAGGATATCAACTTTTAACTTTTTCTATTTAAGGATTAATTGAATAGTGATGTTGACGTGGCTAACATTTTTTCAAGTTAAATATCTAAATTGATCCCTCAACTTTTATTTTTGAACCAATTCATCCTTGAACTTTAGAAAGTACCAAAAACGTCCTTCAACTTCAATTTTCAATTTTGTCTTTCCGTTAGTTAAATGTTGATGTAGCTAATTTTTTCGCTAAGTGATTGACTATTTTATATTTTCAACTTTGTGGGAATTCTTTCTTGTATTGAAACATTTAATTTGCAAAACAACAGCTTCTTTGGCGAAATTCTAGCTCTTTAAAGAATTGTAGTGGATTGCAATTTTTGAGATTGAGCAATAATAGCTTATTTGGAATAATACCAAATTAGATTGGGGAAAGTTTAATTTCATTAAATTTCCTCCACCTAAAATCGAATCATTTTGTTGGAGAAATCCCATAGGAGCTATGCCAATTGCCAAATATTTTGCCGTTGGACCTCTTTGACAACAATCTCTCCGGACACATACTATGGTGTATTTGTACTCCGACTACTTTGGCCAGAAAAGACATTTTAGCCAAACATCATTTCTTTAACTGTTCCCTTGTTAGTAACGAATATTATGATTATGAGGAAGCTATGCCGATGAAGCATCTTTCATATGGAAAGGAAAAGAATATCATTATGAAAATCTATCACTCCAAAGGATCATTGATCTTTCAAGCAACAATTTAACAGGAGGAATTCCACTCCAATTTCAATTGAACTTATCAAAAAACCATTTGATTGGAAGGATTCCACCAGATATTGGGCAAATGAGATAGTTGGAATCACTTGATCTTTCACACAACATGCTTTCAGGTTGGCTTCCTTCAAGCATGTCCAAGTTACAGTACCTTGGACCTGTCAGATAACAACTTTTCTAGGAGAATTCTATCCGGTACTCAAATGGACACCTTTAATGCTTTTGCATTTATTGGTAATCCTGCACTATGTGGACTTCCTTTATCACAAACATGCCCCAATGATGAAAAGCCAACGGATGGTGGTGTCAAATACAATCAAGACAATGAAGAAAAATTCTTTAAACTAATCCTGTATAACAACTTCATTACTTAATTTAGAAGAATAACAGAGCATCTCCCCTGTTATTATTGCTTTTCCGGTTCAAGATACTCATCACCTTCAAGCACTCATCCTGCAAAGTGAAAGGGCAGAACTGCAATGTGCGCAAAATAGAAAGGTAGAGACAAATTTGTATTTTAAAAAAGATAACGATAAATTGTTTTTTAAATTATTAATTAAAAAAAATTACTTATTACTTAATATATGATGTTATTACATATAAAAAATCTATTTGTCATTTAAATATTTCTATACTTTTTTTGAGTGGTGAATCTATTTTTTACTTCTTTTTTTTTTTTTTTATTTGAAAGGTAGATTTAGGATTTTGGCAAGTGAAATTCTACTATTTCTACTTGGCTACCCCAGCAACAATTCCGGCCTGTCTTTTCTTTTTCTGTGTATTTAGTCAAAGGTGTGTTTAGATCGTGTTGGGATGGCGCCCAGTAACGGCCCAACATCTTTGCACCTTGAATAACAGCCCAGTAGTGCTCCTATTCTGGCCCAAGGTTGCATGTCAGACCATGGAGGCCTATTGCGATAGTACAATGAGTGAGCCAATTAGGAGTGGATGGTATGTCAAGGCAGGACAATTATTACCCCACAACTATTCCTCATGGGTAATAAATAACACTCTCAATCAAGTCTCTTTAGAATATATATAGTATTACTGAGTTGAGTTTTGTAGGTACATGAGTCAAACCAGGCCAAGATTCGATTCACAACTCGACCTGGATAATTCCTATATTAACAGATGGCTTGTAAATTTTGTTTTTATCTCTTCTGATAGTTTGTCATGACTAGCTTGAAATTGAGATGCAATCTGAATTCTATGGCCCCTAATTCGATCAATTTATATGCTTCTTTTACATTTTTTATTTTCTTTTTTAATTGAATTCTCAATTTTCTTTTTTAATTGAATTCTCAATTTTCTTATAAAAGGTTTGCGAATGTACGATATAGAAACAACACTTAGAAGTCTATATTTTAAAAATTTTAATTTAAAATTTTAATATTAATATAAAGGTAATTTTATTTGAATGATCTTTTTTTTTTAAAAAAAATAATCAAAAGAAATGAATAATATCCTTGAGGCTACTATGACCTTATAAAAGATTTTTTATGTTCAAATTTAGTAGCGTGGTGTTTGAACTTTGAATCCGACCGGAAGTTAAAAGAATAATCAAAAGAAATATCAGTGTACGGCATTTTTCCTTAAAAAAAAGGGGAGAAAGTAAAATACTGAGAAAAAATAGACAGAGTGAAAAAATGGTAGAGAAGGGGTTTTAGGCAGTGGGTGGAGCACCCAACATGGTTTTATTCTGTCTCTCAGCATCCCTTGTTTCCTAACAAAAAAGTGACGGACGTTGAGGGTCTGAGGTTCTAGTCGTGAATCAAACGGGTATTTTCTTTTCTCCCTTCCCTAGTTCTCCTGTTTCTTTCATCCCCAGAAATCGCAAAACTAGATAGTCAGTTCTGTTTTCTGTGGATAATTCAATAAATATTCTATAAACTCATTGGGTTTCAACTTTTTTCTTTCAGGTTTTTGAGTTTAAAGTGCTGCTGGTTCGCATCAAAGGGAAGGTCTTGATTTCTCTCTCAAATGGGTATGTTTTGTGCAAGTTCAATATTTTAATGGAAACAAAAATACAAGTTATTCACTTCTGTGTTTTTGTTTGTTGTAAAAAAGTTATAGCTCCACCCTTACCAAACCCCTCAGCGCCCACTGATTGCAAGATTTGAACTTCAAACCTCCAACAGTTCAAGGTTTTAACCACTCCGTTGATTCTTAGTGGACACGAGTCATTGTAAGATAATGAATTATTTGCTTGTTAGTTTAATATTTCGAGATTCTAAAGGCCAAAGTGGATAATTTAGTATCAATGATGTCATTAAGGTAACAGAGGCAAACTCCAGAACCATGAAATAGGTAAGAAAAGTTGCTTAATTCAAATTATTATCACGAAAGGGGCGAATATAATGCTTCTGACCACTCTCACCTAAGAAAGTTATAATGAATTTTTTTCCTAACTTGTCTTAGAGAGAGCGGCTAATTTAGTAGATCAATAGCAACATAGCCTTCACTTCCTGATCTCTGTGTTACAACATCTACAAACCTACTAATGAAGTGTTTATTTAATCTGAACAGGTCCCATTGGTCCTTAATAATTTGTTGATAGCCTTCAGCATTTTGACCTTAGTGGCTTAGCCAGTAAATGCCATAATCGGGTTTTTCTCTTTGTTTTCTTGGTTAGATTACATTCGTATCACATTGAGAGAGTGAAATGAAAGCTTTAAGCTTTATGGCCTTTGATAGTAATGATTTTATGGGATGTTCGTTGGACTGTTCCACTGTCCCTGATCTTTTAACAATTATATGTTGTCAAAATAACAAACTTGGTTTGTCTTTCCCTTTTTTCTTCTTTGGCACCATCTTGCCCTGTACATATTTGATTTTGTTAAGTTTGTCTGTTTTGGTGGTTGTGTCTTTTGTTGTGCAGAGATGTTGGCTGTAAAACTATACCAAGTTGCTGAAACCTCATTGCTTGAATATCAAATGTTTTATTAGTATATAGAGGGAGGCCTAGGCTTTTGAAACTTTCATAATTGGAATCAAACAGGGGTTCGAGGAAGCAAAAGCATTTATTATGATTGAACTGCTCATGAACAAGCTTTAATGCTTTTTTTGTTGAATGGTGGGCTAACTTTAAGATATTATTAGGACTTATAAAAATGGTTTTTCTTTTTTGGCTAGATTAAGTCCATGTGTAAAAGTAGAATTTGGATCAGGAAAAATAGAAAACAGAGTGTGGTAGCTCCCACTGTTTTTTATTTACTTTCCTTTAGAAGAATTCAGTGCGCGTCACTAAGTTCTACAATCCAATATCTTTTAGAAAATATACATACTTACAGGAGAAATAAGGAATCTGGAGAAAATTCCAACTTTTGGTGGTTACCACGTTGTCCTTAGATACATAATCTAATTACAATAAAGTAGTTGGATGTTTTCTTGACTTGTGGTGATCCCGAAGTTGTCCATTCATTGCGTCATTTTTAATTCCTTTATGTTTCATGTTGACATTGTTCAATCTATGTGTTCCATTGCAGCTATTTATATACACAAGCAGAACACAAATAGCAGAACCAAAAGGTAAAATTTGGACCATTTTTCCCAGACAGTGTTCATTTTTGTTCGACTGAAATCTGAATTAATCTAGATTTTGATCTTATCACTCTAAATGAACATAATGGATTTGGGTAAACATAAATTTAAATTTTCTTTTAGGTTTTTGATTAAAGGACCTCTTGCTCATAAATCAAAGGTCAAGTCTTGTTTTCTGTTGCGTGGATGCTTCCAAGAGAGGAAACTAAAATTTCCAAAGTTGATTAATTCAATTCTGTCTTAATTAACTTGTGTTTTCTAGCTTGAGAGAGACGATAGCAGGTAAGTCAACAAGTCAATGGTCTTCCATTTCTTTTAAGTTGACTTAAGCGTGTTCCTTACTCCCAGTGATTTGTAATGTTGAATTCTGAGATCAAATCATCTAGTCCAGTGTACTTTTCAGTTAAAATTTTCTAAACTGGCATCTTCCTTAGCTTAGACTGTCATAGCTTTATAACTTTTCTTATGCTAAAAACATAAAAATATAGGAATTATAGGTTTCTTTGAATCATATAGTCCAAATAAGTAATATATATATATATATATATATATTTTTAACACAATCATAGTCCAAATAATTTCAACGTAACCATTTCACACAATCATGGTGCAATGCTTGTCGGAAAATAAGAGAGTAAACCACCTTCGGGGGTTGTTTTAAGTTTCAATAAGCTTCTTCACACTTGGAGGACACAACTTCTTGATTCTGTCTTGCTGGTGCAATGATAATAACAAATAACAAATCAAAGTCTGTTTGTGTGGTTTGCATCTTCTATTGTAAGAAGATCTAACTGCAGCTTGCTACAATCTGAATTTTGATTTATGTGTACTAAATTATGATTTATGTGTGTTTTATTGTATCATTTTGGTGTTTGGCTTGTTTGATTCCAGCATCTAGTTTGTAAGGAATGAAGAACAAGCTAGCTGCAACAGAAATAAGACTGAAATCTGAATTCGGCAAGTTTAATGCTCTTATTCTTATAAACATGTTTAATTGATAGAATGGTTTTCCTTAATCAAATTATAAAAATGAGATAAATTAGATAGAAATCATGTTAATGATTTTCTCTTCCTTTTTTATTATTATTTTATTATTATTATTATTAGGGCCTGCATCTTTCTCACTCTCTATGCAGTTTGTACTGTCATTGTCTAGCAGGATTAACCTATCACAACCCTACAAGAAAATGAGAATCTTTCAGAATCTTACCTTGTCCCTTTATTATTAGACTAGAACATAAAAAGATTCCAATGAACATAGATATAGTCCTTACATTGACAAAGCATTCATGAAAGTGAAGACGTAAAATTTTGGCTCTAATTCTGGCATCATTTTGCTGAGCCTGCTTGACTACCCCAAGTACGATGTTGGACATGTTGGGCCATGACTTAGCATAAAACGTAGGGCTAAGTTGAGCATTAGATGTCCTCAACATCACAACCAAAAGAACTGTAGTGATTATGAGTGGAAAGAGAGGCATATTCTTTCATATCATTTTCATGTGTAAGCATATAGTTTAATTCCTATGCCATTCATTTGTAACACTGAAGTCTTTATATAGAGATAATGTCCATGATGGATTGTAACCATAAAATTAAAAGCAAAATGACTGAGAAATTTCTTCCCATTACTTTTTCCTTCTATAATTCCTTTCATAGAAAAACTTCATTATGATCATGGTGATCAGTCCGTGAGATTCAACATTTCATAATGTAAAACCCTAAGAAATGTAAAGTTTTTCAATTAATGGACGGTTGAATTTGATGAAATTGCTAATGTTCTTGACTTTTTTTGGTTGGAGTATATGCTGATTCATAAATTTGTTTGAATTGAATTAGTTGGAATTGCTTCATACTTCACTTGGTTGTCTACTAATTTAGGATACATTGAAGAGATGTAGTGTGTTGGAGATGATATGACTTTAATTTAATTTGTGTCCTTTGATCAAGTACTTTTAGAACTTGAAATTTGAAAGAAATTTGAACGAAATTGAACATCTTAAATTTAAATTTTGAGACGAGTGAGGAAGAATCAAAGGAATGAGAGCAATATCTTTTATTATGTAACTATTATATATATGATGTACCCAAAATATATATAAAAATTATCTGAGACCTATCAATTTAATTTTATTCATTCTTTGAGATATACACTGTATAGTATGTATATAACTAATAAATGATAATAAAAGTTGACATATGCATCTTTCTAGATGAAGGCTGAGCTAGGTGCAAAGAAATTTTGGACCAGTGTTGAGGACCATAGAAGTTCCTTACTTGGTTGGCACACAAAGCAATTGCATTATTAATTACTTTATTCTTAGTCATTTAACCCCTGTTTTTGTGCATAGAGATTAGTTTTCAACAAATAAGGTTCGATCTCTTTAACGGTTCATTTTTAAGTTTAAGTTTTATTATCAACATTTTTTTTTTTTTTGGTAGATAAACGATTTATAAGTGACAATTGTAAGTTCTTCTAGCTGGCCATATACCTTATTCTTGGATTGAAGTAATTAACTTCCCCTCACCCTAAACTTACACGTACACAAAAAAAAGGAAGAAATGTTTTATATATAAAGGAGGAACTATTGCAACATTCAATTAATTGTTTAATTTGCCCATGGGACATAATGTCTCCGTCAAGAGGATAAGATGCGGTGGAATGTTGTAAAAAGAATAAAATTGTCATGGTTTTAATTAACCGTTTTAAATTCTAGAAACGTAGTAGTCAAGCTAGGAGGCTAAAAATTCAACAGGCATAAGATTGTTTTGGTCCCCTACCACAGTCACAATCATATTGTAGGTGACTTTTATTTTTTCTCTATAGTTTTACTTTTCCTCCCTTAAAGCCTCTTAAAAGCTGATTTTATTAGAGTTTGGAATCTGGGTTTCATTCTTCATTCACACAACAAAATTAGACAAAATTAAACCCTTATGTTTACATCTTTAGAATGTCTAGGTTGAGACTCGGTCCAATTTGTTTTATATTCAAATATAACATTAACAAGCTTTATTGGAGAAAAAAAAATTGTTTTTTGACATGAGAAAATAAATACACTTGTTAATTATAAAGATTTAAATAATCTAATCTTAACTACATTAAAAGTTTGAATTTAATGAACTTGTCAGCTAGATTAATGTTCGTAAACTAGAATGATTTGGCAGCATAACATGAAGATGATTAGATGCAAACAAGCTTTATTCATTAATTTATATTCAGCAAAATACACAAGCATAAAAGATGGCTATTTATTAGCCTTGCAGTTTTGTTGTTGATCAAATCAAATGGAGCTAGCTAGCCCTTCATTTGATCTAGCAGTTGTGATTGAATCACTATTAACAACACTGCAATTCAATCTAATCTCCCCATCAGTACCCGTCAAAGGCATGATGTTTCCCATTCTTATCATAGATTCAACAAAACTTTCGAAGAATGCAGTTTGGTTGCTGCTAAATCTATTAACAATTTCAGTGGTATCTGCCCCAGCAGTGGAGAACAACTCTTGATCACTTTGAAGCAGACCTTGTTGAGCTTGAAGGTTGGTAAAGTAGTTGCTGTCAAAGGCATCAGGTGTCGTGGGATCGAGATCTGTCAGGACACTCCCATTTCCACCTTGAGGGCATAATTGGCGCAATGTTGCTAAGTAGGTTGTGTTCAGGGTAGAGTCAGGATTTCCACTGCCGCTAAAGTTATACAGTCTGTCTGTGAATGTTCTACATTGAGCCCGTCCGAATGTGTGACCACCTGAAAAATATGCAGTCCTACTTTATAACTAAATAAAATCATATCCTTAATTCCTCTTAATTATTCAATTTTGAACTGCTTGAGGAAAGTGTCACTAAGAATAAAGTCTTGGAATTACCCGACAACGCAACCAGATCTGTGCTATTGTTAAGTCCAACAGCTAAGAAGTTAGCTTTGAGTTGATCCAGGGTTGCAGTAGGAGCTGGAAGGAAATTATCAGCCAGTGTGCGGTTTGCAGTTCTGCTATCTCTTCTTCCTAACAAAACTGGCCAGGATGGGCCTCCTGCCTATAAAAATGAACTTGGTTACAAACAACATACATTAAAAACCCATAGTTTTGTTTTTCAGGGAAAGCAGGAAGAGATCAGTACCAAAAAGACTGATTCTTCTGCTGCAATTGCAAGAATGTCAGCACAGGAGACGGTAGCAGGACAAGCAGTCTCCAACTGTGCCTTCATTGCATCAACAACATCAAAACCCCTCGCGGAGTTGTTGTTAGCCAGTGATTCCTTCTCACTCACTATGGTGTCACTATTGTCCAGCAAAATCGAAGCATCACAGCCCTGAAATAAGTTGTAGCAGATTGTCATCGAACCAAAAAACGGCACCAAGTCAATAAAACACAAAAAAGAGAATGAAATTATGGGAAATAACGTAAGGTTTGAACTTGGAAGGGATTGGAGATGTTACATTAACGAAGCAGTCATGGAAGTGAAGCCTAATGAGACTTGCTCCAATTCTGGGATCTGAGAGCAGAGCATTTGCGAGAACTCCACGTATAATGCTTGACACATTGGGGCAAGTTTCATCGTAAAATGTAGAACTCAGTTGGCCATATGACAATGAACCCCCATGAAGCAGAACTACAAAGAAAAGCAGAGCTAAGGATCGGAAAGAAGACATTTTACTGATGATGAGATTTCTATGTTAAGGATATGTTACATTTGGGAACTCTAGAATGGCCTTTATTTAAAGGCAGACAAAAGTGATTTGGTCGACGATTTGTGGACACGGTGAAAGAACTTTCTTTTCTTTGAAAAAAAAAAAAAGGGGAAAAAGAAAAAGGAAAAATTCAACGTTGAATTTTGTGATAACGCTATGGTGTGTGTGTGTGTGGATGATATTTTTATTGGTGGTACGGTGAAGAATAATTTGTTAAAAAAAATTAATTACATAATAATAAGAATGATAGAAAATTAAAATGTTAGGAATGGTAATAAATTGAGGTTTAATTAATGAATAAATCTTTAAACTTAAAAAATTGTAACTTTTAAGTGCTTAAATTTAAAATTTTGAGTAATTAAAAATTTCAGCAATTAAGTTTGATTTTTTTGAATAACATTGTGATAATTAAAATTTTAAAAAAAAAACATGATAATGGTATCTTAATAGGTTAGTATTTTTTATTTTAAATTAAAAATTGTTCACTTTAATTTAATTTTCAATTATGCAAGATCT